TTATATGCTTAAAATCTGTGTAAATATCATCAGTTTCAACATGGATAATAAAACTATCAGTGTCAGTATATGCTAATTTTATTTTATCGTTATATTTAGGTTTTAATACATCATAATAAAAAGAATACATATGAATTTTAGAATAATCTAAAATTGATAGACCCATATAAATAGGTTTATCTAATTCTACCGTTGCCTTTTCTTTTTCTACTCCTACTAAACTTTCGTTTATAATGTGTCTGTGTTTGTATGATGGCTTATTTACTAGCTTCTGGAAGCGTTCAGGTGTATTAACTAATTCAAAGTCAATGTGATTACGAACGTTTTCGAGTGTTTTTCCATATACAGCGTTATTTAATAGTTTGAATAAATCTTTTTCAAATTCAGTTATAGCATTCTTTCGTTTTTCGGTGTTGAAATCAATGTATGGTTTTAAGAAATCTGCTTGATTAAAACTAATTACCCTATGGACTTTCTTTAGTTTTAATCCATGCTCTAAATAAAACTTCAATGCTGATATATGTAATACATACTTTTTCTTATCCATAACATTTAATATTAGTTTATTTGTTTTTTCATCAGATGCATCTTTTCCATAATATTTTTTATGTATTTCTTTTTGAACTGGTGAAAGCATATTCTCACTAACACTCATAATTTCTGGTGCTAATGGATAATCTCTATGTAAATCATGTAATTCTTTTGGGTATTCTAAATCAACTTCTAAAATATAGCCTTTGTCATCATCATCGCTATAACTTAATACTTTCTTCTCATCCATCCTTGAAAAATACCAATTGAAATTATCAAACGGTAGTTTTTTACTCATTGCCAGACCATACAAGTTATTAGCATCTAAATAACTTATATAACTTGATGGTTTTGACAAGTCATATTGTTCATTCATGTATTTATTATTTGCTTCTACTTTTTTATGAGCACATTGAGTCATCCCGCCACGAAGACCTTTTTCAATCATTTCATACATGTCTTTATTATGTATTTGTTGAAGTCTAACACCAGTAAGAGATAGGAAGGCAGACCACGAATAATTAGGTAATGTTATGTAATGAGCAGGGTCTAAACCATAATAATTTAAACACATATCCCTAAAGTTTTCAAAAACATCACTAAGCAAATAAACATCTGTCATCAAATATAAATCATGGTATTCACCTAGGTTTTTGATATTGAAATTTTCCCATATTACTTTTGCCCTTGTGTGTTGTGTGTCTGTTATGCCTTCTTCATATAATTGACTGTAAAAGTCTTCTATACTTGGTAATTGTGATTCATTGAATTTATCAAATGAATTCATGTAGTCGTAAGGATAAACTCCTTTTTCAGTTAATAAGTCTAAATCGGTTTTATTTCTAATATATGGATTTGCTGATGAAAATCGGAAATTATCCTTCCAGTCATTCCGCTTTTTATATATAGGTTTATCATGTTCATCTTTACCTACTATGTCATATTTATTTAACTTAACTAATTTATCCAAAGATGCTGAGAGAAAAGCCATGCTATCTTTAAACTGTAATGAACCAAATGAAAATGTAATAAACTTTTCGCTATTTTGTGCTATTACATCTATTCTCTTATTTTCGTTCAATTCCTTATTTATTTCATTTGCTTTACCTATGATTAAGTGAGAGTCATAGTTTTTTAAATTATGAAAAAATACTGGTATCTTGAAATATCTAAATGAATAATCCAAATTACATTTTTCGTGAGCACAACCTCTATACTCACCAGTAAAATGACAGTGGTCTCTGACTTTTGTATCTTCTGGTTTAAAATTCTTATTACATATTGAACATACAGTAGCTTTTCTAAATTCTGCTTCTTGTTCATCTGTAATATCCATTGGTTTATTAACATTCATTTTATCAAAAATATCTTTTTTAATTTCTCTTAATTTATTTACAAAGTGGTCTAAACAATCCTCTCCACGGTATAAAAAAGGTTGACTTGTATTATCAATAGAATTTACAACATTCAACATATAACCGCATGGTTTATGTTCCTGATACGTGCCCTTGATGCCATTATTTGAATTTACAGTTATACACTCAAAATCTCCATAAACAACAAATGGACATTTTAATTTTGTATTGTATTTTTCAAATTCAATATAACTACCTTCTTTTGGTAATTTAAACTGTTGTCCATGTGTTGCCATACAACCAGTTTCATAATGTTTTGTTAATAAATCCTTTCTAGTAAAGGCATGAGAACAATAATGACAATAATGTTTTGGTTGGTCATTTTTGTTTGTTTGCCAGTTCATTAAACGACTTAGACTTTTAATAACTACATAATGATTATTATTATTGATTTCAATTTTCAAAAGGTTTATTTGATGTTTAGCATCTCTTGTTTTAGTTCTGTAATCAATTATAATTTTCTTTTCATTCAAAGTATCATCAATTTCATAAACATTGATTGAAACTAACTTACTATTATTTTCTTCAAACCTTTCAATATCTTTATTACCAGTTGGAAATTTAACACCTTCCCAGTTTAAGATATTGTCATTTAATTTGTTGTAATGAAAAGTATGTTCTGGGTGACTTTTACTAATCTTATCAAATACTACTGATTGAATACAATATTTGAAACATTTATTATCTCTATTTTGAATATTGATACATGCTTTCTTATGTTTAATCCAATCTGGTAAGTCAATATAACTACCTGCCCTAGTAGGGTCATATTTGTCATAATGTAATGTGATTGATAATATCTTTATAAATTTTAAATTAGATGCTGAACCTTCTAACTTTTCTATGTTCAATAAAATCTCTTTGATTGATTTTTCAATTGCTTCATCCAAATCGGTTTCATTATATATGTTTGACCTTGTAGCAGGTAAATTATAAAGTATCTCTGTATGTTTTATTACTCCATCATCATCATAATAATGATAAAATAAACCTTCTGCCCTTATATTCAGTTTCATTGCTCTATTAGTTTTCAAAAAGGTCAAAAGTCTATCTTTTTGGTGGTGTATCATTGATAGTGCCTTTTCACCTTGAAAATGTTTATTTACTAGTTTTATAGAATTAGCGTAACTTTTGAATGCTGATTGTTGGTCTGTTATTCTGAATTTGTTTTTTATAGCGTATTTTGTCATGGCATTTTTCAATCTTTGTTTAAGATATGTTGAGCGAATTGTTTTTGTAGCATGACTATTATATTCATTGGTGTTTGCTACTGATTTTAATTTCTTGTTCAAAACATTCGAGATAGGTTTTTCTTTGTTGTATCTAAATTTCCTACCATCTACAATTATTGATTTTAATTCCTTGTTTCCTCTTTTTGGTATTTCCGCTTTGTCATTATTTAGTAGATAATCTATAACATGTTTCATAATACTATACTATATAATTTAATATATGTTTATTTCTTTAAGTTAATTTAATATATGAATACTTAAAGACATATTACTATATATAAATAACTATGTTTTCAGAACTTGAGGCGATAAAAGAAACACCGCATTTTCTAGTTCTTGACTTTGTTTGTGACAATTATTTGATATCATTTAATGAAAGTAATGTTGTTTATAAACAGGGAATGTATGCTAGATATAAAAAGTGGTGTAGTAAGAATAACAGAGCATGTATAACCTTTGATAAGTTTGATGAAGAGATAATGAAGAATAATGAAGTTAAATGTTTTACTCATTTTGGGAAAGATTATTATACAAATCTTATTTATGACCCAGAATAAGCATACATATTTATAACATTTATTTGGTTAAATGTTATAATTATTTTATACTTAAAATCTACTTAAAGAAATAATGCCTTAATATATTAAGAGGAAAATGCCAATGATAGGAGTGACAGAAAAAGAGCTGGAACAGGATAGAAAGATAATATTGAGTTTCATTAAGGATAATCCCTATCCATCGTATAAACAAGTCATTGAAATAATTAAAAACGATAAAACAATGGAAGATATATATCTAGATATGTTCGCCGAGTATGGAGAACAAAATCATCAATGGATAAAAGAGATTTACGAAAACATAATGAAAGAAGAACTCGTTAAACATAATGGTAATAGTATTAATGAAAGAGGAGGAATGACAACAATGCATTGTAATTATTATACTTTGATATCAGTGTTGCGTTATTTAATACAACAAAGAGCACCAATGAAAGATTATGACGTTAACTTAATCTGGTATAATATCAGAACCATCTTAAGCAGTTCTTGGAACAACATAGGAGACTGGAAACACTGAAAATAGGTTTATTCATATTATCTATAATCATACTATAATAATAACATGTAAAATCTTATATGTTATAATTATACTGTACTTATAGTTTGTAAAGATTGAAATATTTTAATTTTCCTTGATTTGGCTGACTCTTTCAAAGTGCGTTGTTTGAACTTGGTATGCTCTTTTGATTTTTTCGTGCTTTGGCTGTTTGTATTTTATTTTGTTTGATACTCTTCTGATATTTTTTGTTGGTATGTTGCTTTGTTTTTGTTGATGTGTGTTTTTGAGTTTGTGTTCTTTGATGGTTTTTATTTTTGCTTTTTTGTTGGTATGCTTGTTTGAATTATTTAATGTTTTATGCTTTGATTAAATATTTTGTTGGGGGTTGTTCTGGTTTTTGAGTTGCTTGGTGGTTCTTATCTTGTTTTCTGTGAATTTTGCTGATTTTGTTGTATGCTGTTTGATTTTTTGGTTTTAGTCTTAGAAGTGCCGTTTTATGTATTTTTTGGGGGGGAGGGGGAGGGGGGAGGCAGCCCAAAATAAGGCCCTCCCCCTCCCCTCTCTCCCTCCCCTCCCTCCCTCCCCCTCCCTCCCCCCTCCCCCCTCCCTCCCTCCCTCCCTCCCTCCCTTCCCTCCCTCCCTCCCTCCCTCCCTCCCTCCCTCCCTCCCTCCCTCCCTCCCCTCCCTCCCTCCCTCCCTCCCTCCCTCCCTCCCTGAGAGAACTCCGCCTCCCGCATCTCCCCCCGCAGCATGTCGCCACTAG